TTGAAAGTACATATACAAGCTACAAGATACTAGTTATAGCAAACATATATTTAGTGAAAAATTAATATACAGTATATGGAATAATCGGATAATAAATATTAAAGATACAACCATTGAATATTTCAGTTTAATAATACAACAGATTGTAATTATTTAAATATTTCTATGTTTCCTATGAAATATATATTTCTCATCATATATATTACAATCTCTATACATATTTTTAAATTTCTTTTCAATTATTGATCATAATCGTAATTTCATTATAATTAAATTGAAGCTAATCGATAATTAAGTTAAAATCAAATTTCAAAATGATTTATATGTTTTGTAATATTTACATTAAATTCCAAAATGTTTTATACAAAACGCACGGTGTATGCACAAAAAAAAAAAAATAGTCTTAATTTGAAGAATATTTCATGAGCAACTGTGTGTCTAGTGTTCTACGAAGTGTTTTTCGATCAACCGACTTCGTCAAAAAAAAAAAAAAATCGTCCTTAAAAAGCAGTTCGTGGAACGCGATCCGGAACACTTTTTTTTTTTTTCTTTGTTTCTCTCTTTTTTCTTTTTGTACCTCGTAGCGCTCGCCCTCGACTTTCTTCCTTTTAGTTTACGCGCGGCCAACCGTTTCCTTCCTTTCTCGTGTAACCGTTCGCCACCGTTCTCCTTACCATTTCTGCAAAAGAAGTTTCTTCTTCCAACAATCTGAAATCGTCCCTCTTAATCGACGTTTCGTCGATCAAGTTTCACCGCCGGGGACTTTTTCATCAATTCCACTCGGACATCGTCGATCACGATGTTCCTCGCCGCGATCAAGCGTTTATGATACATCTTTCAATGGCATTTCACTACGATGAAGATTCTTGTTCTTTTTTTTTCTTTCTTTTCTTTTGACGTGTCAATTTAGCGAAACGTTCGTGAACGTTTTTTAAACTGAATTTCGATTCAATAGAAACGAAACGTCTTGAAGTCTTTTAGTGATCGAAGTTTTTACTGTGGTTGCTAACTTGGTAGGTTGAGTTTACTGTCCACTGTATTCGTGAGATTTAGTCAATTAATTTACTTGGTTTATTTCGCGTGTTTGATTCGATTTGACAGAACCCAAATGAACATTCGCGTAACATTTGTCAGTGTCTCTGTAGATTCTCGTCTAATTCGATTAAACTTCAAATTGGCGGCAAACGATATTCAGCATCGCTTTATGGCCGTACGAAGATTCTTGTTGCTCGATTCCATTATGTTTCACATAATATTCACGAATTCAACTCGATTTCAATGTTTTCCTCGGAATTTCCATTCACTTCGAGGTGGCGATGTTGCACTCTGCAACGAAGAGTAATCTTATCCCCTCGATTCGGAAATCGTCGACACGTTTTGCAAGTTTTGGCCCGGTTTTATTTCGAATTCGACTTACTTCGATGAGAATCGGACGGTGCGGTTCGAGCGAGGGAAAAATCGGCCGATCGATTTTTCGCAGACCTTGAGACAACGGTGCGCGTTGCGACGCACGAAGCTTGAATATCACCGAGCGTGAAAGTTTGACTGGCCAGCGGTAGCTTTAATGATCAGCTGTGCTCGAGAGAGAGAGTTTTCCCTCCCACCAGGACTAGCTTCTTCTTCGATGGTCTCCGTTCACAAAGATGTTTGTCCCGTAAAACGGGCAACAATGAGACACGCCAGTCACCTCGAGATCTGGTGATCTTATGATGTTCTCTCATTATATTCTAATAGCTACCAGCCTACTGTCCCCGATCCGCACGTTTCATGTCTATACTACAAACTTACGCGAGATTACTTCTGAAGTTTTCTGGTCTTTTTTCAAAACCAACCGGCTACGGACACTTCGTGCGTATCACAGATCTGTGTGAAAAATTTCTGTGTGAAAGTTTAAGTTTTTTCTTTTACGAGCATTTATTGCCAGTTCACAAAAGCAGCTGCATTCAAAGTAATAAGATTAAGTGATTTTTTTTTTTTAAATTAACTTCGAGATCCTACAATGTTCTCATATTCGTACGTTTCTCGTCTATATTAGAAACTAAAAATACACAAAATAATAGGAGGCTCCTATTATTCATGTCTTTACAAAAATGACGCCTACTGTACGTACACAGATCTGTGTGAAAAATTTCGTACAATAAAGCTGTCAACTGTTTAAGTTATTTTTCCCAAAATCAACATTTTCTTTTACGAGCATTTATTGCCAGTTCACAAAAGCAGCTGCATTCAAAGTAATAAGATTAAGTGATTTTTTTTTTTTAAATTAACTTCGAGATCCTACAATGTTCTCATATTCGTACGTTTCTCGTCTATATTAGAAACTAAAAATACACAAAATAATAGGAGACTCCTATTATTTTCATGTCTTTACAAAAATGACGCCTACTGTACGTACACAGGTCTGTGCGAAAAATTTCGCTATTTCAGTTGTTTCCCCAAGATCAGCAGTTTGTTTTACAAGCATTTAGTTTCTTTCAAAACAGCTTTAAAAACACTGGAAACGATATGGTTATTTAAAACAAAACTTGGACTTTGATAGAGCGTGAAACTATCTTCTTGTAAATTTTTATGCTCCAAGTTTTGTTACATTTTGATCGACGTGAGCTAGGAAAAGACTCATGTCAGCTGTTTTTCCTTCCTGACCGTCCGATCTCCATCTGCAGATGAATGTTTTATAGACCTAATGCAGGCGAGCGGTTTCCAGCTATTTGCCGTGCAAGTTTGCATTCACGAAAACGAATGCATTATTTTATACTGATTAATTGAAACGAGTGACTTGCAACAATTCGATCCTTGGGTACGAAAGCAAACGCGAAACGCGAAGCAAATTAATGTAGAAACCGCTCTTGTAAATTTTGATCTTTATCCTCGTCCCTCGTTTCTCTGACCTAATTTTCTGATGTCAAATTGGCACAACTAAGGCGAAAAGATTAACATCTGAGAAACAAGCGACGTTATAAATTTACAGATTCTTTTTTTTTTTTTTTTGTTAACATTAAGCAGAGTTTAAATTTTTACTCAATTGCGTCACGTATAAGTGTTCGATTTCGTGTTGTGATCATTCGTTTTGACTGTAAATGCCTACGAGAACCAAGCATCTTCAGAGATATACGCGTGAATTGACTGTTCAAGGGATTTGAAAATATGATCTGCGGTTCACGAAACTGTCGAAAATATATATACGTTGTGCGTCAAAGAACCTGTAGCTACGTGCTGTGTGAAATAATATAATACTTTGGAAGAAGAACGTGACGAGCTGCGGCAAGGGATGGATGAGGATCAATAAAAATCGTACGCGTAAATCCGGTAACAGACTCGGTGGCACGTTTCACCACCGGTCAAAAAACTTCACGCCCAAACTTCACCGCAAACCTTTTCGTTCAAATTAAGCTGTGTAAAATATCGTACCCTTTTACTGTCGAACAGTAGTGTTTCGTTTGCCATAAAGTAAAATATATGGGTCAGTTTTAGTGCTTGTAAACTTGCCGGTTAGTCGCCACTAAAAGTTACGTCCAAAAAAGTTCCGTCTAAATTTATGTTCTTCTGAAACGTGGCAGTAAATTATCGTGGAGGCAAATTTGCTTCAAACCGGTCGGTCTGCACTGTAGACTCTACACGGTAGACTGCACAGTGTAGATTCCACAGCGAGCCTAAAACTTCACGTGCACACAGGTACACGCGCACGCACATACGTACACAAACAGGCAGATGTCTATCTGGGATTTCTTTCATCTCTTCAGACAACTCGAACGCTGTGAAAGAAAGGCCCGAGAGCGAAATTCTTTACAGCCCAACAGCCTCAGCCCCTTTGTACACAGTCTTTGTTCTCGCGGTGGATAGAGATGGTAGAATGTGAAGTTAGGGTACTGCTTACTCTACTTCGTAATATACAAGATATATCCAATTATTACTTATCCAATTTATAACTTATCGCTCGTAATAATCAAAATATTTATTATTTTATATTCTTTCGATTTATTCTATGCTATTTTAATATTATCTTATACAGATGGCTTATGGCATCGAAAGTGAAAGATTTGATTGGAACCTTGCCTCCTCTGAATTGGCGATGGATTCGATCGACTGATTGCGAGTGATCAACGATACGTTGCACGAAACGTGCTGTTGAATTTTATTTTTGGATTGGAAGGATTCCAGGATCGATGATTCTTTTTGTTGATTAATCATTTGAGGTGATTTCAGAAGAAAGAAGTTTTTATTAGATTTAGGGTGATCGAAGGATTGAAGATTTAGTCAATGCGTTGAGAACGTAAGAATTTGATTTATCTGATTCAAATGTGGAAGAGCCAGTACTCTTATACGAATTTCATTTAGTTGAATGAAATTTTTGTTTCTATTATATGAACACGAGAAATAACAGTAGAGAGGAGTGAACACATTCCTGTTATGTTGCCTCTAAGAAATTTATCCCTCGACTAGTTCATACAAACATAATGCTAGAATGTTGCTTTTGGTCTGAAAAGGTTGAAATTAACGAGTTGGTTCCAAACTATGCCATGGAATTTTGTTTGGACTGTGTATATCGAAAGATTGACAATTTTTAATTTTGATTTTTGGTTAGTTTGAAATTATTTTTAGTAGATGAGACAGAAATGTTCTGTTAGTAGAATAATTACTTTCTTGACATTGAATTACAAGAGCAAAACCTTTCCGTGCTTCAAATTAAAGTTCTTCTCTAAATTTTCTTCTTGCATGTTTCAGCATAAAAAAAAAAAAAAAAAAAAAAAACACGTCCTCATCAATTTGCCGTAAATTCACACTTGCGAATTCACGAATATAACTTCAGCTCGTTTGTACGCACGATCAAGGTTACATGTTCAGAAAAATATATTTAATACGCATCGAAATTTAATAAATCAGTTGGGAAAAAGGTTTCTGATTTGTCGACACTTTCGTTGTTGATCGATTTCGAATGTTACAAGTGTTTCCGACTGATTTATAACTCCCCTCGCCCACGAATCATCGAAACGAAATCACTGAAAGCCTTTCTTCAGCCTCGGCGTCTTCGGTGAAGTTGGCTCACGATCGAAATGAGAAACGATCTAAATGATGACGCCCGGTCCGAGACCACAAATTTCTTTTGAAGATGAATGAATGCTGCTAACGAGTAGACGATACTCAGTGAAAGTTGTAAATTGAACGAGTAAATCTTCAGGCGTGATTGTGTAACAGAGTAACGGAGATTTTTTTTTTTTACCCTTTAAGATGATCGAGTGAATCGATATCGTGATTTGTATCGAATTGGTGTGAGATCAAAAAGTTGTTAGTTTTCCATTACGTGTCTGACAATTGAATATAGTTCATAGTTTGAATTTTATAATTTCTCTCGATAATAAAATTCCACTGACGAGATTCTCAAAAAATTTCTCACTTCTATATCTCGGAATTATGACCTTTAATTTTTGAGAATCGAACATCTTGGAATTGTAATTTCATTTCCGCTATAGTCTTTTTCATATTCTTCTAAGAACTTTTCGTTTTTTAATTCTTTTCAAAATTCAAAGTTGTAACTTCTAAAGCTATAATACATTACTGTGACCTTTTTATATTTCTAAAAATTTTATATTTATAGAAGTAACAGGGGATAAAATCTTTCTCAGAATTGTAAAAATTTCTGATCTAATTTCTTAACAAACAACAGAGAATATTACCACGATTATTAAATTAAACAACATAGAAAGATTGAATAATAAAGATATCCCATCTGATAATAAAATTCGAAAACTATCAATCAGAAAAGCAGAAATAATACTTAATTGGAAATATTCACCAATCCGTGGAATTAAATATCCAGGTTGTATGTCGTGCGAAACAGACGAAATTTGATCGCGATTGATAAGAAACTAGACCCCACGTCGACTTGTCGCGTTCTTCCGAGTAATTCGAATTCGTATAAGAAGCGAAATTTATGATAATTTCATGCATTTATGTGGACGAATGAATTTATGAAGGCGAGAGAAGATGAAAACCTGTACACCCGAAACTTTGATTCTCTTGACGAATATAATGCCGGAGTTTCTCTTTTACCATCAACTTCGAGACACCAGGTGGTTATTATTTTTACCTGTGTCATACAGAATAATTGGAACGGTCGTACATCATCGTAATTACAACATCGAGTTACTCACTTGACTAAAATATCTTTGCTTACTTTCGTTTTGCCTCGCCTTTTGTTT